GATGAGGAGCTGCGGGGGGGTGGCCGGAAGAAAGGGGTTCACTCGTTCTTCTGGGGTTTAGAGACAGGCGGCGGCGGAGTTTGCGCTCCGACCCAAGCAAGCGATGATGGTTTTAAGCCGCTTGACAGGGTGGCGGTGAGTAAACCGAGTCGGATAAGGAGGTGACCCGAGCGCAAGCGGGTTCGGATTAGGCTAAATACGAGAAATGTTTTTGTATTTCATACGATTTGGAGATGTTTTAGAAAAATAAAAATACTTTTCAACGACGACAACAGTAAGTCATAATTAAATTACACGTAATATAAATATTCCTAATAAAAATTAAGAAAATAGATTAAAATCAGTTTCTATTTTATTCGCTTTAGTTTTTAACTGAATCGATCTACCTACTTTATAATCGATTGGGGGTGCTCGGATGGGTCCCGCTTGCAGTCTTGTTTCCACCTCCAATTAGAAGACAGGTAGATCGGGGGATATAAAAGATGGGGGAACGTTTATATATCATGTCTAATTGTATAAATTTACGCGCTCTAATGACTTACAATGACTTCGAGTAGAAAGTTGTAGAAATATTATATTTTAATGTATGTGAAATCAAAAGAAACAAAATAAAAAATAATAATATTAATTTTTTTGTTACGTGAGTAACAATAAAAAGAATATTGTCGATCAATCATCCTTTGACATTTGTGTGATGTCTAAACTGAAATGAGAAGACGAATTTCAAATGACCCATCGATGATTATACTTGAGACAATTCAAATGATCAATCAATATATTACCGTCAAAACAATGGTCTTAGACAAGCATAAGAAGTCACACAAAAGGCTAAGGTGGGAGTGACCAAAACCATCCCCAACTCTGTAGTCATCATGATGGAGGAGAAATAAACAACTCGAGTTACCTTGTCCAAGGTCCGAGCTGACCCCTCTGAACAAGACTAGAACTAAAGTTTTTCTTTAGATAAAAAATATGAGCTTTTAAAAAACCCTTACTTGATAAGACCTTATTGGTAGAAAGAGATATGCCAAAGTACTATTAGTTCTACCAAGATTATAATTACAACATGAAAAATTGTCATAACTTAAAGAGTAAATCGAGAAGCTCATATATCAGAGACACCTTAGGTAGTTTGTTCACAAGCACCAAAAACTTTTATCATGACCTTAGGGGTTGATGGAGAAATAGATTAGTATTATCATTGGTGGACCTACATCGGGATCGTAAACCTGTATATTACATTCAGAGATAAGCTTACTCCAAAATAATACTGACTAAGTTCATATGGTGGATATCCTTTGATAAACAACTACGATCATAGACCGACCCATATCGAATAAACTAAGAGTGATGGTGTCGACATATCACATGGTGATGAAGTTCCCGATGAGGATCGACATTAGAGAGTTGAGAAACAACTCAAGGGAGTCACGCTAATGCTAATTGATGACAGTATGATTCAAAGCCTAAAAAATTGATTTGCTACAAAGGAAGACCTGTTAGCGAGAAACAACCCGTTATCGAGGTCATCGATTCAAGGTATAAGTCGAGCACCCCAAACCCCGTCGGCATTGGTGAGTAGATATAGTATATTATTTTGAACCCCTAATGTTTTTAATGTTTTTGAGAGTACGAAAATTAGAAGCCATAAAAAAAAGGTTAATTATATGAAAAAAAAAAGGTTCGGGTCCCGTCAATCACATATGTTATGGATTTAAAAAAACATCGAAGATATCAAAACCATCAATCGGATCGAGGCTCACTACATGTTGTAATTTCTAACGTGAGATAAAGATGAGTCCGAGTAGAATATGTTTCTATCCAAGTTTGGCTCACCTAAATAAATTGGATTCGCGTACATTTATTTGTAATTGAGTTCTCGTTCTAGAAAACGAGTTGGGATCAGAACATCACTAGTCGCTAAAATCCTATAACATATGCTACTATTGTTGGAACTTTTCAGGGCGTATGGGTTGCATGCAAATTGTCACGTAAAAAAGTTTTGATTTATTGAAAAGAATTTTTTATTATTTAAGTAATGAACACGAGATACAGAATTTAGAATCTTACGATGTTATTTCGATGTTTTTATAAACTAACTAAATTAGTACAATTCAAAATATGTTGAATTTGAATCGTCAATATTTGATAAATAGGTCTAATTTTATTTACTTTTTTTATGATCTTCATCTTTTGGATAATTCATTTTCCTATTTGTTTACTGTATTGATACTTGAATATCTTCCACGTAGATGTGTGAAAAGATCGATTATAACTTGGGGTGTCTTCCTTAGACCAACACTAGCAAAGGATCGAGGAACGAATTTTGTCTTAATTTTTATATTTATTACATGTTTAAAACATAAATCTAAATTGGATTTGTCATATATGTAGTTGATTGGTTATTGGCCCGTTGACTTCGTGGCCGTTCGATAATCCATAATTATTCGATCGTCGATTCATTGGTGATCGGTCAACGATAACTCCGATTGACTAACTTGCCGTCACAAACCACTGTATATTCGATCGACCAGCATTTATTTATGTCCGACGAAGGAGTCATCATTCGGTCATCAATTGCAAAGTCAACGTCAATTAATATCCAATTCATTGTATATATATATTAAAAACACTCTATCATTAATATTTTAATATTTGTAGGATGTTAATATATTTTTAAACTTTTAAAAATATCCTATAATTTTATCTAAAATTATAAAATTATTAAATAATTTAGTGAGAAACCAAAAGATTTCTATTTTCTATGAAGGTAAAATTTTATTTATTTATTTTTAAATATTATATATATATGATTATATTTTTATTTATTATATATATGGGTCTTATGAAATTTTTATAAGATTACATGCATACATGCATGCATTCATTTACTTATTTTATTTTTATACTTATTCATTTAAAATAAAAAAAAACTATATATTTATTTTAAATAAATATTAAAATATTAGAAGGATAAATTTATCAGAAAATATTCAATAGACTTTTGAAATATAATTTTATCAAATAAATATTTAAGATAATTCATATTTAAAATATAGTCTTTATTTGATTATTTATTAAATATTAAAATATTTCATAATGGTACATTCATTCAAATGTATATTATAAATATTAATGTGTTCCAAACACAACTTGAATATAGTTTCGTTTAATATTAATAATAAATACTTCGTTACAATCTTATCCGATGACCCCACCTTCCCATGAGTACATCATCGATCGGCCTTGGCACGTTTTAATCGCATGACAATGCGAACACAAAATATTGAGATTGCTTGGGTTTTGAATTTGATTTGGGATAATTTATTTTGAAAATTTCACATTGATTTTTGAGCAATTATTGAGAATATATTTTTTAAAAATGAATAAACAGGTATATCCTTATTCTTTTGGTTGTCATTTTAGTTAACAACTATTAATTATGTAGTGAAGTGTGTATTTTAGTTCAAAATGGAGTTTTTTTTTTTGTTTGGAAGTTTGTCTAAAACATCTCTATTAAGACATGATATTAAGACATTTTCTGATTTTTATTTACTTTTTTAAGGATTTTATATTTATATTCATTAAATTTGATAGGTTTATGTGTGCATTCTATTGTCAAATATATTTGAGTATAAATCGAATGTACTTTGATGAACTTTGTTTAAGAGGATCTTTAAAATATTTATTTTTTAAAATTGATATATTTCAATAAGAATTATGAGTCTTAGTGAACTCTATCTCAAACACATTAGGGTTTTACGTCTATATTCACATGATCGTAACACTCATTCATTTTTTTTAAAAATAAAACTATTATTTATTAGCTTTTAGAAGTATTGCTTGAGAAGAAGGAGACGAAGAAGAAGAGAATAAGAAAGTAGAGAGGTTGGAAGAGATGGAGGATTAGGGTTTGAAGAATTCTTAATGGGTTCATTGTCTCGAACCGAGTTTAACGAATTTGAAATAAAAATTATTGTTTAGAATAGAAGGATATAATTAAAATTTTAAAAATATATCATCAGATAATTTTTGAATAGAGCAATGCTTTATCATAAAAAGTGATTATGAGTTTTTCTCTATAAATTACCCATTAAAGTTTTCCTTAGATAAATTACATCCGTTACAAAAGATTCATGCATCAAAGATTAAATTAGAAGGATATAATTAAAAACTTAATTAAAATAATTAAGAGTTTTTTTTCTATAAATTATCCTTTACAATATTTCTTGGTTAAATTACCCTTTTAATCATAAAGTAATCTAAAACGAGACTAATTATCCTTATACTTTAAAATGTTACATTAGTATTTTTATAATTATTAAAATAAAATATCTAGATCCATTCATCAGAAAATTAAAAATAAAAGATAAAAAATAATTTTAACGTTCCAATTGATGATAACGAATGGTGGCACCGATGCTAATACAATTGTCGAGCGACGTCGCTCGACACCTACATCGACGTCGATGTAATTGTCGACTGATGAAATAGTTACTCTATAACTACGTTAACATCGATATAGATGCAAAACAACCCTCATTTCTTATCGTCACTCTCCTCATCCACAACAGTTATCCATGACTTTCAATATCATCGTTGTTCGTCAGCATCGATATTGTCTATCATCGTCAACTCAAATATTAAAATTTTTTATTTTTTATTTTTATTGATAAAAATCGATGATATTAAAATAAATAGATCTAAATGTTTAACTTTTATACTTATAATAATACTAATATATTTATTTAATATGTAAAAATCGAAATATTAAGTCGTAGTTAACTACTACTACATGGGTTAATTAACCCTCTTAAAATGAAGCTATTTTCTAACAGGTTCATGCATCAAGCAGACCCGTTCAACGTATGCTTGCCTCCAAATCTATCTTACACGCTGCCTCCGTCGTCGCAAACTATATAAACCCTCGTCTTGTCCGCCTTCGCTCGTCCCTTTTCTGCACGTTGAGTTCCTGAACCTTATTCCTCATCGGCGAGCCGATGGATCCCCACTCCTCCGCCGCGCGCCGCACCGCCGTTCTCGCCGGCCACCTCCTCCGTGGCTCCGCCCCCGCCGACGGCCTCTCCTCCGCCTTGATCGAGCCCGCCGCCTGCCTCCACTACTCCCCTCCCGAGCTCTCCGAGCAGCCCCCGTCCTTCGACACTGCATCGCTGCGTCGCGTCCTCGATGGCCACGACACCGAGGGGCGGGACTGGCTGTTCCGGCTAATGGAGGAGAGCTCGCTCTTCTGCCCCCGCCGCCGCGGCAACAGGACCTTCGTCGCGCCGGACTACAACCAGACCATGGAGCAGCAGCGGGCGGTCACGATGCGGCGGATTGAGTACCTGCTCGCTAACGGCGTGTTCGAGGGCTGGCTCACGGGGAGCGGCCCGGAGGCGTTGATGAGGAAGTTCGCCTTCTTCGAGTGCATTGGAATATTCGATCACTCCCTCGCGATCAAATTAGGTGTTCATTTCTTTCTCTGGTGAGCCTTTGACCCCCTTTTTTTCCCCTTCTTTATTTCCATTTCTTGAGTAAATGCCACGGAACGTTGGAGAAGATGTGATTTTGATTGAAATTTTGGAGGTTATTCGAGGATGTTGGAGAAGGTGTAATTTTGACTGCAAATTTGGGGGGTTGATGATTCGAACGATAGGATTTAATCTGAACAAATTTAGGATTGACTTAAGCTGTAAAGTAAGTAGAAATGGAGTTTATGTAAGTGCTCAACAGTTAGAAAGGGTAGACGATGAGGAATGTACAAGATGATAAATTAAGGAAATTACGGAGAAATACGAGGATAATATAGAGCGTTCCAGTAAAAGATGGTTCTTCTCAAACCAAGTATTGGAACCCTTAGGACTCTCAGTTCAAGTTGAAATGAAGTTTGCCGGACACAGACTAAAACTTGGACTACATTTATGGTTCATGGTACGCTAGATGTCATCCCTCGCTCATATAAGTTAACCCAAGGCAATCAAATTAGTGATAGAATTCCAATTAACTTGAGCTGCACCATATGCCTTATCTGTCAAATTTTCTGATAGAATGAATTGTTAATTGTAAATTTGATCTGCTGAGGGTTCTTAGGTCGAGTCAATTGGCATTCTAATGTGGACACATCAACTTCTTTTTTTTGTCTGAGATAATGGCAAATCATGTGCATCTTGGATGACTGTTTTCTTCTTATGGTTTTGGCTTCATGACCTTCCAAGAGGAAGAAGCATAAGTTGATGTATCTATCTTTTGTCCTTAAAACATGCTTCTTCAGGCATGCATCGACAGTCATCATATTCTTTTTTTTTTGCCCTTCCAAGCCAATTGCAGGCACCTTCTTCCCTTGAACCAAAATTTTGACATATCCTTTTTGTTCTTCAAGAAGACATGGTTTTCATGATTTATTATATATTTTTCTAAATCAACAAATAAATCACCATTTTTAATTGAAAAGTCCTCAAATTGGAGCAATTCGCCCAGTCTCATCATCATTGATGGTCATGCTAGAAATTGAGGGATTAGTCTGACCAACTTATGATTGGTTAGACTTGGGATTAACCTGGAAAGTAAAGCTTAATAGTTCAAAGAGGAGAGGCAAGGGGCAAAGGGGGAGGGTGGGGAGTGGGGGAGATAGACCAGACAAGCCAAAAGATAATTTACTTCTACTCAAGATGAATATTATTTGCTTCTTTTACTAGTTGATGGGACCTGTATTAGTTTGATTTGGATCTCTCCATAATTTATGCATGTTGTTAGTCCCTATTACCTTATCTATGTTGTAATTGTGTAGCTGCTTTTGCATGAAAGCATGATGGGCCTTTTGCCAGCAATAACCTGTGTCACTGGTGCCATAAGATCTGTCGTACTTAAAAGTCTTAAATAAGTAGTTAATGTTCTCAAATTTTGATGGATCACAGGGGGGGGGCAGTCCAAATTTTTGGCACAAAGCATCATCATGACAAATGGCTGAAGGCTGCTGAGAATTATCAGGTTCAGGGCTGTTTTGTGATGACCGAGTTGGGGCATGGAAGTAATGTATGTTTCTGTATCTTAGTTGAAGTTGTTTATTGGAACTTGGAACATTTATTTATGTTGTTTCTGTTATTACATCTTTACACTTGAAATCTCTTAAATATTTCAAGGTCAGAGGACTTGAGACTATCGCGACTTATGATGCAAACGCAGGAGAGTTTGTGATAAACACTCCCTGTGAATCAGCACAGAAGTATTGGATAGGAGGAGCTGCTAATGTAAGAAGAATTTTCTTATAGATTATATATGTTGATGGTAGATCACGACGTGGTCTATGGTCACAAGAAACTTCTATTTCACATGTTGTATACGACTTCCATATTAGTTATATTGTACTCATTGGACATGCACATAGCTATATGTAGCTCCATCTTGCACTGAACTTGTAACTCTGTCTGTGTCTCAGGATGCAACACATGCAGTAATCTTCTCTCAGCTCCTTATAAATGGGACCAACCAAGGGGTGCATGTATTTATAGCACAAATCAGAGATGCAGAAGGAAATGTTTGTCCCAATGTTCGCGTCGCTGATTGTGGTCATAAAATTGGCTTGAATGGTGTTGATAATGGCCGGATCTGGTGAGGGCATTGGTTTTCGATGCTAGAGTTTGTTATTATGCTTCAGAATTGCCATTCGATGCATTTGTTATTATTACTTGTGCAGGTTTGATAATTTCAGAGTCCCTCGGGAGAACTTGCTAAACTCAGTTGCTGATGTATTGCCTGATGGGCGATATGTGAGCCCAATAAAAGACCCAGATCAGGTTCCTAAAGTCGCTAAGATCAGCATATTTGTTTATCACAGTTTGTTTAAATTCTGTGAAGATAGTATATGATGATTTCAATCGAACAATCTTCTTGACATTTCCTGTTGTCTGCCTGAATAATATACATTTGTATTGCAGAGGTTCGCAGCTCTTCTTGCGCCGCTATCATCTGGGCGTGTGAATATTGCAGCACTTGCTGTTTGTATATCAAAGGTATCTTGCACTTGCTTTCGATGCTTAATATGCTTTTCAGCTTGTTAATAATTATAATGTGCCATGGAAATTGAGCAAATTTGTTTGGTAATTCATTTTTGAACTGTTGTCAGGTGGGTTTATCAATTGCTGTGAGATATGCTTTGACAAGGCGGGCTTTTTCCATATCAGCTAGTGTTCCTGAAGTTCTGTTGCTGGATTATCCTTCTCATCAACGGCGCCTCTTACCGCTGATTGCAAAGACGTAATTGCGCTAATTATCTCGATCATAAATTTTAATTTGATTAATCATGCCTAGTATTTTCAGATTTTCATATCAACTACCTGAGGAAAAATGATTCTCTTATGTTTTGTTTTGCTCTTTCCTCCCTGTATGCAGTTGCGCTATGAGTTCCACGACCAACTTTTTGAAAAGATTATTCACTAAGAGGACTCGAGAAAGCAATAAGAGTATTCACATATACTGCAGTGCTTTCAAAGCTACACTCTCATGGCATACCATGAGAGTACTTCAGGTTCATGCATCTTAGCTGAAATGTTTCATTTTTTGTTGTCAAGGATTCCTTTTGCTCAAGTTAGGATGTTGATACGTTTTTCAGGAGTGTCGTGAAGCCTGCGGTGGCCAAGGCTTGAAAACAGAGAACCGTGTTGGTATCTTAAAAGGTGAATATGATGTTCAGTCTACCTTTGAGGGAGATAACAACGTATTGATGCAACAGGTACTGTGCAATTGTTTCTTTGATGGGATCTTTTATTAGACGCGAGCACATTGAGATAAGATTAACTACACATGAACCAGGTGAGCAAAGCACTTCTTGCAGAATATATAGCAGCACATAAGAGGAAGAGTCCATTCAAAGGCTTGGGATTGGAACACATGAATGATCCTTGCCCGATCATTCCATCTAATCTAAATAGCTGTACCCTTAGAAGCAGCAAGTTCCAGGTAGCAAGTCAGCTTCATTTTTTCTACCTCACTTTATCAACTTTTAAGCTGAAGACATATAATCGTTTCAATCGTTCAGCTCGACCTGTTCTGCTTGAGGGAAAGAGATTTGTTTGGTCGATATGCTAATGAAGTGTCTCAATATCAAGCTCAGGGAGAAACCAAAGAAAAAGCAGTTCTCCTGGTAGACACTCGGCACCTGAATTGTTTTGTTTCTTTCATCGCGTTCCTTTTGTTGATACTATTGAACTTGTTGAATGTATCAGAGCTATCAACTCGCCGGCGATTTGGCAAGGGCCTTCGCTGAACGCTCAATATTGCAAATTTTCATTGATGATGAGATGGCCCAGCCTGCTGGACCACTAAAGGTATATACATGCAATATATATATATATACCTTTTCTACCGAGTTTCTTGGGTAAATTTATGCATCATCATTGTATAATATAAATCTCTTTGCAGGATATATTAGGGTTGTTGAGATCGATGTATGCCTTGATCTGTACGGAAGAAGATGCATCTTTTCTTCGTTATGGGTACTTATCGCTTGACAATGCTGCTGTTGCAAGGAAAGAAGTCATGAAGCTGTGTTATGAGTTGAGGCCGCATGCACTTTCTGTGGTTAGCTCCTTCGGGATCCCTGACGCCTTCCTGAGCCCCATTGCTTTCGACTGGATTCAAGCCAATTCTTGGTCTTCCCTCAACGAGGAATAAGATTGCAGTCATCCTCTTGTAGCATAAACTGGCAATAATCTAGGGATGAATAATGTAGCATAAATATTGGTTAAGGAAACCCTGATGCTAAAGAAAGTGATTAATCTGTATTCGGCAACTATATAGTTTTTTATTGGAGGCCATTGGTTTAGATTCTTTCTGAAGTATACCTTTAAGATGTTTTTGTTGATATTAACATAAATATCATATTCCTGACTAGTTTCCATCCTAGTGAGAAGATCCTCTATATCTTGTTGTCATGAAAGAACAATAATGGGGATGGATAAGAGCTACTAATCCTGTCCTTGTAATAATTTGATACGGGTTAAAACTTGAATGAATTTATGAGCGCGAGTTGAATCTATTACTACTAATATTTTTGTTCATTAATTTAATATATTAGTTACCTCGTTGATGGACGAGTCGTGATAAATGATATTAGAGTCGGTCTAACAACTCGAGTAGGAAAATATTGTGTCTCCGGTGCTGTTACTTAAAAGAAATTAGAGTGCTCAAAGCAAACCCACGCTCTGGATACATTAGCATGGGATAACATCACAAGATTTCGATCCTATTGTGTTGGCCTTCGGGATCGGAGTAATGATTAAGAAGGATAGTCGGGGGCATTCGTATTTCATAGTCAGAGGTGAAATTATTATATTTATGAAAGATGAACCACTGCGAAAGCATTTGCCAAGGAGGGAAGGTGTTGCCCCTTGCTTCGCTTGCTCGCGCAGTAAAAAATGGTCAGTTTTGTCCTGTTTTTGGACTGTTCTTGAGTGCCGCAGCAACCGTCATGAGCGAAGCAAAACGTCAGCCATCTCAGCATCCTGGAACCCCCCGGGTGACACAGGGCTGGATGAGGCTTTCGTATAGTAGGGACGGTGCTGTCTCTCGCTTCGCTCGCTGTCCGCCAATTTCGGACGAGTTAAAACTTATTGAGTTTACGTTTAAGTATTTTTGATCAGTAGATTGATAGCGGATAAGGACATGAGCATACCTTATCTCAGGAAGCTCTCTGTTCCTGAGTGATGATTATACAACTTAAATCAAGAAGAAAACAACAGCTTGGATTCAATGATCTCAAGTTCATGCATAACCCTCTTGAAAATGCTCACTTCATCTCCCCCACCATTTCTTGTGTGTGTCAAGAGTTGACCAGCCACCAACAGACAAACAATTGGTCCAACCAAACCCATCGACAGCTCCCCTGTTTCGGTCCACACGGGGTTCAGACTTTTCCACCAACGAAAAGAGAGTTGACTCCATCGGTCAATGGCCGCAAGCGTGGGAAGACCCTGAACCCTGTCGGATTCGGAACATCAGCTCCCCGACGTTGTCTCATTCCAACAGTCGACTGAGTACCCTCCTCCGTACCGGTGTTGCGACGATGGATTTGAGATGACACAACGCCAGTGGGTGAGTCGTACCGCTATGCGTCCTGCTGTTTCCCTGTGGCTCTTTGTCATTGGCTTGTGGATGAGAGCCACACAATTAATGGAGCGGCTACAGTGGTCGAGATAATCCCCGGATTCTCTGTCCGCCTATGGCTGGGAATCATTTGTATTGTTCTGTGAGAGAGAGAGAGAGGAAAATGGAGGGATGATGTCTTCTGTCTCGTGGCATCTCTCTTCCAAATGAGCCTTTCTCTCTCTGTCTCTCTCTTCTTCCTTTCTGCACCGGACAAAGGACAAACAGAGAGAGAAAGATGGGTGATGAGACAATGAAGACCTACATTGGCAGAGACAAATACAAATTTAACAGCCATAAAAGCTTTGTAGAAAGATGGAAACATCTGTATGTGGATGAGAAATGGCACAACATCGATGCTTGCGATAGCAGACGAAGCACACATCGGTAAACATCGCTGTTGATCGATCATGATTATTGACTCCATTTTGTGGGGGGCAAAAAAATCACTTTACCGATACAACAATGCAAAGAATTAATAATAAGGGTATAAATTTCAAAATAATTAATATGAATTTCTCATTATCTATTTAAATGGATAAGAAAAAAATTACTGTGCGAGAATAATAAAAAATGTGTATTCATAGAATATATACATATATAAGTAAATTTAATAGGAATATTAACATTGATACATTCATAAGTAACTATAGATTAGTTCAGGGATAAATTAAAAAAAAAGATTCTAGTTTTGATAAATTCCTAGATAGCTTTTTTTTTTTTCGGAAAAGATAATTTTACTCTTGTGTCTTCACTATTGGTCGCCTACACCTGAGCCCTTGGTCGTCGCCCATTGCCCAGGTTCGTCTCTAGCAACGATTGAGGTCCTAAGTCGACATGGGTTCTCGATTGAAGGGGTCATTAGCTAGTGATCAATTCTCGATGATCCTTTTTCGTCTTTTTCGACCACTACAATCATAATGTGCGGAGGTGTGAGAAACATGCACAGAAGAATCAAGGACGAAGACGATGGTCGATCTAATGAATGTAGGAGTAAAATAATCTTTTTACACAAAGAAGAGGAGGGTACTCAACAAGAATTTTTTTGAAATGAGAGCATAGGGAATTTTTGGAAGCTAAAACTAAGGATATATATTTTTTCTTAAGGGAATTTGCCCTTACTTCAGTTCTTCGACTTTTAATATGGTCTTACATAAATCATATACATACTTAGTGCTTTAATATTCGCGTCTCTATCCACAACGGGTATTTTGAGAACCCTATGCTCTCATCCTCGCTGCGTTGCCTAATCCATCTCTCGCCAAAACAAATGGCCACGATATCGGAAAGAGACACTGCTGCTGCCACAAGTACCCCATTTGCATGCGGCCACTGTTGTCTCTGTCGCTCCCCTTTGCTCTTCTTCTAACCTTCTTCTGTCCCCTCTTCCTCTCAATCACATGTTTGATTTCCAAAGCACATCAGTTTTACTCTTCACCAATGCTTTCTGAATTATTTAGAAAGCGACTGACAAGTCTGCCGAATCCCCTAAAGAGAAATCTCGCGGAAGAGTTTGTGGTGGACGTGCAACCTCTCCCAGGTTTAATGCTCCCAAGGGTCGAGCTGAGACCATTCCCTTGTCGATCTGCTACTAATCTCATGCAGCCGTAGCTGGCATTTTGCTACAGAACGTCGAGCTTTGTCCACGTATTGGAGCTTCGATATGCTGGCGGTCGAACCCTTGAGAGGCTCCAATGGAGATGAACGAGAAGGGGCGATGGGGAGCCTCGCTGTCGTCGATGACTTCGTCGATGGGAGCTTGTTCGAGGACATCAGCTTCAGCGACCTGTTCGTGGGAATGGATGACGGCGACGTCCTGCCGGACCTCGAGCTGGATCCGGCTGAGATTCTTGTGGAGTTCTCGGGCGCGGCGGAAGGCCTGTTTCGCGTAGATGGCGCAACGCAGGATGTGGTAGAGGAGGCGGAGGAGAGGAACGCAAGTCATGGCGTGGCGGTCGCGAGTGGGATGGCGGAGGAGGATCCGATATTGGTCACGGCGACTGAAGTGTGGTCTGCTTCACCGGAGGGAGATAGAGGTCGGAAGTCCTCAGCCGCCGCGGTGTCCATGAAGGGCTCACAGGGGAAGCGCAAAGCAAAAGTAAGTATAGCTTTAGTAACCCTAGCAGCAATCTTAGGTCATCCTCATCTCTCTCTCTCTCTCTCTCTATATATATATATACACACACATATGACTTCACATAAGTTTCTGTAAAGGCATCAGAAGAGTCACGAATGCAGAGGAAGATTTAGAGAGTAGAAAATAATGATTTGTTCTAAGGTTTATCTGAAAGATATGAATCAAAGTCTTCATAGGCTTCCTCATTGAGTCCTGCTATAAAAGTGGAAAGAACACTAGAAAGATGAGCATTATTGAACTTGCGGACAAGAAAGCTTGAAACAGATCTATGTAAAAAGGAAAGGAATCACGGGCTAAAAACAGAGAGAGAGAGAGAGAAGTTGGATCTTATCTTTTAGCCGTACTTTCTTTGTATGGTTGCTCACAAAAAGTTGCAGCTTTATCTCCTTTCCATGTCACTCAAGGGTGGGTGTGTGTGTGTGTGTGTGTGTGTGGTGGGGTAGGTGGAATGGACGCCGGAGCTGCACCGGCGATTTGTTCAGGCGGTGGAGCAGCTGGGGATCGACAAAGCAGTGCCCTCAAGGATTTTAGAGCTGATGGGAATCGACTGCCTCACTCGGCACAACATTGCCAGCCATCTGCAAGTACTACTACTTTTGCTTCCCACCTAAATCTCTCTTCTTTCTTGTTCAGGGAAAAGGAAGATTAAGCCTGTGGCATCCATCCGAGAATGCTACGTATGCTTGTCTGTGTTCCTTCTTGTCCTTGTCTTCCCAGTGGAATCAATAATGCAATCATGTCATGTACTTTTGCTCTCTCCTGAAACGCTGGGAAGAACAAACACATGCTTTCAATATTCTTTCCCATGCATCTCTTCTAGCTTTGCATCATTCTCTTCTTTTTGATGGATTGAGTAACCCATTCATGGCAGATAGATATACTCCTATACTATTCTTTGTAGTGCAGCCATGGCGTCATCCATTGGCAAGCGTGAATAGAGTACCACTTACAAGGAGACTTTTACTTGGGTGCAGAAGTATCGATCGCACCGGAAGAGTTTGCTTACGAGGCAGGCGGAGGCAGCGAGCTGGAGTCAACGCCGGCAGATGTACGCGGCAGGCACGGGCGCGAAGAGGGGCGCCAACCCGTGGCTCGCCCCTACCGTCGTCCTCCCTCCTCCTCCAGCCCAGGCTTTTAGGCCTCTGCATGTCTGGGGCCACCCTGCCGCGGCGGAACCACCGTTAGTCCACATGTGGCCTTTTCCGCCACCGCCTGACCCCCCTTATTGGCACCACCATTTCCAAAGGGTACACACATCTTTCTCTCTCTCGCTCTCTCTCTCTCTCTCTTGGCGAGTCTTTAAGAACTGTTTCAGCTTTCTCCATGCAGGGAAGTAGAGAAGGATGGGTCGCCATGACGCAGGGAACTCCTTGCTTGCCTCAGCCAATGGCGGCAGCGGTAATCCACACTTGGCTTTGCGGCAGTCCGATGATGACGTTCACCTGATATAATAAGTGTGATGACAAAAGTATTAATGTTGCAGGGGTTTGCGGCTCCACATCTCGCCGGCATTGTTCCACATCCCATGTACAGACCAGTTCCTCCACCTCCTCCCATGTCGAAGCAGCAGGAATCCACCTCACAGCTTCAGCTTGATGCTGCTCATCCAGTGAGTCCCTCTCCATCCTCTCTCTTAAAACTTAATTCTGTCGTAGGTTTTTCCGTAAGAAATGATTTCTACTGCAGTATTTTTCTATGCACAAACTTTCAGAGCTCATCTGCTGGCTTCAATTTTAGATCCAATTAAAGAGTATCCAAACCCAATTAAAACAAGTTGGATCGGCATAAAGTTCCAATTAGAAACCAAGATATTGTTCTTGATCGTCTCTAGTATTTCTGACAAAAAGTTTTCTCTATCTGGTCACTGCTTCAGACAAAAGAATGCATTGATGCAGCTATCGGAGATGTTTTGGCCAAGCCATGGCTACCATTGCCACTCAGACTGAAGCCTCCTTCACTGGACAGTGTGTTGGCAGAGCTACAGAAGCAAGGGGTATCAAAAGTGCCACCTGCTTCTGGTTGATCTCGCCACAACACTAAAGAAGAAGAGAAGTCATCTGTCGACACCTCATTCTAGTTTGCATTCTTACAGACTAATTCTTTTCTTCTTCCTTTGAAATCAAATTACCACAGCAATTGCATATGCTATGTTGTATCTTTTAAAACTTATTGATTTGATTATTAGATATTAGCTTATTATGAAGAGAGAAAATTTCTTTTGTAGATGATGGTAGTGCACTGAGCAAAAAGAAAGGGAAAGAAAGGTAATAAACCTGCGGTGGTATGTTCGTCACAGCCACAAAAAAAAATGTTGATCAGCTGCACCTGAAACAGAGAACTGACATCTACAAATTGAGTTGAAAGTGAAACTGCTAGAATTGGACACAGAAAATAAGTGTGTTAATTAACTATTTCATGATCAAAGAAAAAGTACATATGAGGAAGGAAAAGAAGTCAGATCATGCATATACCAGACAGAGAACTGATATCTAAAAATAAGATTGGGTTGAGTGTAGCAAACCATTGGTAACTTGAACGACACGACTCCTTTGCACCATCAGAACAGGAAGAGAAACCAAAAATAGTTTTTTGGTTGATTTTGGTCGATGAATTCCTTTACCCAATCGCCACACGAATTGAGAAGCAGCTTCTGCTGCATGAGATGCAGACCCAAAGGAACCTTCGCACCAACACGAGAGTTCAAATTTGAAACAAAACAAACCATATCATAGAATAGTTCCTCAATATTTGAAGCATTGATTGCAAATCTAGCATCAAGCACTTCACTGGTATGAAAACTTGTGTTTTGTCCTGGTGTTTCAATCAACAGAGGTACAAAAGCCGCAACACCTTCAACACCAGGCTCGAGTGTATTCACACACCTAGCTCGAAACCAGTCCTCATATATTGACGACCAAATCTGTTGCTAGGAGAATCAAAGTATGATTTATGGCCAGCCTCTTAATCTATACCTGCAGAGAATGCCAAATGTATTTTGCATTAACCATCTGTCACTCACAAGAAGTTTCAAGATTTAATTCTAGTATAATTTCTACAATATATATTCATTCATATATGCATGCATGTATATCAAAATTAAGGTTTCAAATACCAATATAGATTGATACATCTTCATAGAAATTTTCTGATCCCACAAGGATCGATACCGGACCACATAGCTTGACATTGTTTCTTCATTACTTTTCAGTTATCTCGGACTTCAACATGCCATCTGGAGTACCGATATCACACCAGTCAAACAAGATATTGAGACTTGTACCGCACTGAGATTCTAAACGTCAAGACTTTCTTACTTCCCAATTTCATCACTTAGGTACTGTTGAGCATGGCCTCATGGGTCAGTGCAGAGGAATAAAAAAGTAACCTTCCATATCCATTGGCCAATGCATCAAATTCAAAAAATTGATGGTGTCAATAAAACTAGTACACAAATTGTTTATCTTCAGAGCTGTTTCAGAGCAATTTCAGAGCTGTTTATCTTCATCTATATATCTTAAACCACATGTATAAGAAAAGAAATCCAAGCTGACTGGGAGGTTCTAGACTTATGGACCAAGTAAAGACCTTATAACACAATATGGAGTTGGAAGGTTAGTGTACTTAACCTAACCCTTGTTCAAGTAGAAAGACGATTCCATGACTCTTATGTATCCTAGTTCAACTCTACGTGTACAAAGGAATTTCACAAAAAGTTTCTTGAATGATTTTAGCAAGAAAGTAAGTTATCGTACATACTGAGCATAAGTGGATTACTTTGTCTTGCAGGATCTACTTAATCGAGCTGCATCATATACGGCTTTTTTCAGATACCACTGTTCCTTTCTGCTTCTCTTCTTCCTTGCTCTCTTTACCACTTTTGTCTTCCCCTACACGTCGTTCATGGCGATAGCAAAGCATCACTAAAAAGATAAATGCTGCATAAAGAATTGACTTTGTGTCAGTAAAGGAAAATCTTCTCAAAGCTTATCAACTTCATATAATACCCTCTTGCTTATTTAAAATTCTAAAAAATATTTGTTAGATAAACCAAGAATAGCCTATGCCCACTGGAATTTGATTAAATCATGCAATTAGAAATACTACCATAATGATAATTTTCTTTTCTTCTCTCTGGAAGATTACTGCACATAGGTTTGCTATCCTACTTTTCTGTTACTACCATCAAAGGAGGATTCGGAAGATGATATATATGTTTAAAGCCAAGACATAACAGATGGAAATATTAAGATCAGCAAAATTCAAAATAAATTCTTACTAGTGTAGATATTGCATAATGAAACCTACAAGGGAAACTTTTTCTTTTGGACTCTAGGATGAGCACATCAACATTAGATGTCACCAACTTGTAAATATACCTTTACTAAAAACTTCCAAAATAGTTGCCAAACTATTCTTCAGTAATAAAAAGGCATGATGCATTTATTGGAATCAGTATCGATGCTAGGATGCAATCAATATATGCTTATACAGCAAAAAAAATCTTTTTAGCTGCAGTTTCATTCAAATTACCTGTAAAGATGCGTGTCCTTAAGCTAAACACGTTCCAGAAAATTGTGGCTGCTGATGCAGCAACTAATCTCTTGAAACGGCAAGATATCCATGATTCTTGAACCCAGTGCATTGCATTCTCAGCTGAGAAATGAAGCATCCCAGACATACGATCCAAGAAGAAAGCTTGAGAACCCATCTTTGACAATCGTCATAATTAATATGATAATAATTACTATTGAAATATGGTCCCAGTATTATGGTTTATACTATAATGTCAGTACCCGTTCTATGTATCTGCTGTGAGTAGGAAAGGTAGAGTTTGGGTACAGTGAAGCTCACAAAAAAGCCTGCACAGATGCACAAAATCAGTCTTACATAGAGTCACAGAATGACTAGTAGCATTTTACCAAATGTGAAAGGGAGAACAATATCTTATTAATCTATACCAGTTACCAGGAGCCTCCACAAGGTTATTAGGTGGCCGTAGTTGGCCCCAAACAAGAGAATTGGTGCCACCTGACATAGTAAGTGAAAATACATGAGTTGAGAAGTCTCCAAAGCCTCACTGTTGAACAGGAATAGATGAACCAAGTCCGAAATTTGCCTTAAGAGTTATGGATGCATCGCCAGAGAATACATCCTGGATATTCGTTAGAGCTTCATTGACAACAGGCAAAACAATCCGTGCGGCATGAAGGATGTCGTCTTCTGTCAATTGCAATTTCCATCTCGAGTTGTGTTGCTTCCTACCAATATTCCAAATCATTCATTCAATTTCTCAAACATAGGCTGAATAGACAAAAACAATCACCTTCGAGTGACCGTATTCTTGACGAAGGCTGTGCCCAAAACCAACAGACCCATGTGAGACATGGCCGAAATGATGCTGCAAAGATCAAATCCACAAAGAGACAATACATGATCCACAGTATGATGGAATATGCCTTCTTAAGGAGATAATTATGAGGATTAGACGTACCTGAAGTTCGATTCCCTTGAAAAACAAGAGGATAAGAAGAACGTCGAACCAAACCCAAACAACAAGGTTGATTTTGCTACATTTTTCCACATAATCAAATCGATGATCTGCTCCAATGAAGCACGTCGATCGTTCGAGGAGATTTCTGCACCTCAAGATTCCAAAACGATTTGATTAGAATCGGAACACGCAGAAAATGGATTACTATCTCAAGAATCGACACGTCAAAGCGCACGCAATCAGATTTCAAGAACATAAGGACGAGAAGGTGGAACGACGCGGAACACCTGAAGGCGGCGGAGGGTTGGACGAGAGCACGAGAGACGCCGATGTCTGCTTCTCGGCGGAAGCGCCCCTATGATTGACCCGCTTCCTCTTCCTTATCCTATCAAGATCATCGTCGGGAGGACCGATCTCCTCCTGCGCCTCCTCCGGTTTTCGACGAGTCCTCCGAGTATTCCTCGAGGCCGCCGCAACGGCTCTACTCCTCGCTTTCCTAGGCGGGGCCTCATCCGGGCGCGCTTCGACGATCTCTTCGACGACGACTGGTCTCCTCCTCGTCCTCCGTCGGGGCGATGTCGACGGCGGAGGAGCGGAAAGCGGTGACGAGTCCATTGGAGCGTAGCAGGGCAAGACTGCAGCCTTTGGGAACGAGGCGGCAATTCACCACTAATTCTTAAGTTTGGGCAAATTCCAATTGGATATCTAAAGTTTAATTTGTGCCGATGAATTTTTTGAATTTTAATTAAACATATAAATGATATGAACATATCATCCAATTTATTTTATAAACACATAATACATAAAATTTAATTTTTCTTGATTTGCCAATAGTATGACAGATAATTAATGTAAGTTGGCGAGTAAGGACTAGATTAATTTTCTTTCAAATTTTAAGAATGAATGTTGATGAAATGTTAATTAAAATATCTAATTAGAATCCATCGGTCTTCGTACTTCAAAATTAGTGGGCTAATTATATATTATTTCATATAGTTAATTATTTTTAATATTTTGATTTCTATACTTTAAAAGTTACATCAATATAATTATTATGAAAGTGAAATATGTAAGTTCAGGAACACTATCAATTTTACTAATAGAATATGAAACCAAATAGTTCAAAAAAAATTTGAACGTTTCGATGGACAATGGCACTACTAAGAGTTACAGGTGGCTATTGTAGATGAGGAAAATGGTAACGAAATGTGAAGGCCACTTGGCAACTACGTCGACTATCGGTATGACGATATACTCGATGCTGTATTCTAGGGCCCATATTTTTCTATCGTCACCGGATACATTCATCGAGAGCTCAACAACCACTCACGTGTTAACCTTCCGGAGCTTCTTTTCTAGTCGATGACAACCATGACGAATAAAACCCCTCCTTCAACGAGCCCTCCATCTCCTTATCTTCATGCTCATGCTAGAATTGACATGGCAGTGAGGGGAGCGATAGGAGCTCCGACAACCCCAACTTCGGGTCCAGCGATCTACCCAATGGATCAGCAGTGAGGCGACCACCATATGCATCAATGTTGATGCAGTTGTCAAGCGACGAAAGGGTCGCTCGACATTTGCATTAACGCCCTTTTGTCGCTTGGTAAGTGTGTTGGTGTTAACGTAGATGGTGGTGGCCGCTGCGAGGTCTACGATGAAGATGGTGGTTGCTTTACCGTTGACCCATTAGGTAGATCGCTTGACCCGAAACTGGGGTTGCTAGAGCTCCTACTGCTCCACCCACTGCCACGTTAGTTTTGACCGAGAAATGAAGCTCTAAAAGGTTGATAGACAAGCAATTGTCGAGCTCTCGGTAGACGTATTCGGTGATGATAGAAAAATGTGGGTCCCGAAATTTGACGTCAAGTACGTCATCGTACCAATTGTCGATGTAGTTGTTGAGCGACCCTCACCTATTGTTGCCACTCTCCTAATCCATAATAGCTACAACCCCTAATGGTGTCATCGTTTGCTAGTACCAACGCCACCTGCTACCATCAACTAAGATATTAAAATTATCTTTTTGTTCTTTATTTTTAGGGATTTGAATAATAAAAGTTTAAGAATGGATCAAGGGAACTTCTACGCATGTCATTTCTCTACCAATTGGGCTAGGAAACGTAAAATGTTACAAGTATTAATAGGGCCCTTAAGAACTATTTCAAATTTAATCATATTTTTCTTGTTACTAGAATGTTAATTTTGAGACCAGAAATAATTTATTTCAGGAATCCTCCCTATATGATATAAATTGATAATTTCCCTCGTGAAAGGATCAACCTTTCATTCTTAAATTTTCCTATACATGAGAGCATATCATGCTGGATGAAAAGAGAATTTATCTGATCAACACAAAAAATCTCGCCGTAAAACACCTCTCTGGTTGGTCTTTGTTTTCAGTCTTATTATAAACTTGGAATTTGTTAAATACTTTATCCTTTATCCTCAATAAAGAAATATATATCATTTTTCAATTATTTCTCCATGGTATAAAGTATTTATGAATTATGACCCATCAAGAAGTACCATTTGTCGTTGCTATTGTATGCGCACACATAGCTACTTAATAAAAACAATAATATTCAATATTTCTATAATTCAGAAGGAACTGTTTGGAAGCCAAGACTATAATATAAATTTCATGCATACTGAAAGACTCGCATAGACGGCAAATCGCAAATAATTTTGAATGACGGGAGTATCAGAATACTATATTCTAAATTTTTACAAAGCAGTTGAATCAGATAAAATACAGGTTTTGAAGGAAAAGAAAAATACAGAAACCATAAAAAGAAGCAGTGATATAAACATAAAACCTACATAGATGAATATGTGGGAAAGCATACACATTTTTTTTTCCTTTGGCATAAAAAGGCGCCATGCGTGTTCAATTATCTGTGCTCCATTGATATTTGATGCTGCTCGCTTCTCAGAACAGTTTAAATGAATAGGTGCTATAAGAAAATCCCTCTCAGAGAGCAGAGATAGAAGAAAGAAATGATTCACTTCCTCTAGAATCTAATCTGGCCTGAAATGTTTGGTTATTCGACATCCGCCTCATGAATCTAGTAAAGCGATTCCAGTTATGAGAGTCGAATAGGTTTCTGTTCATTCTGACATAGTTAAAAGACAATGAAGTCTCATAAGCACCGCCATAGTAAAGCCTGGAGTTATAAATAACCTGATTCAGAGATGCATCATCCAGCCTAGCAAAAGAGTTTTCACCGGTAAGTGGCAGGTTGCACATCCTAGCAGCACAAAGAAGCTGTCTAAGAAATGTTTCTGGACTGCTCCTTGAATTATTCTTTTCCTCAGAATCTAACAAATCGAAACATGTGCAGCACAGCGTCATTCTATGCCGAGCGAACATGCGGAGTATTGGAAGATAACCATCTCTAATGACAGTATTGTAGTAACCAGTGGTGGTTGCTTCAGTGGGATGTGAGTTTGTGCCATAGTGCCAGTGCATACCACCAACTTTTGCAGAAATCTTAACACCAGTACCCAAGAAAATTGCACCAGTCGTGATGCATAACCTCTCTCCATGATGAAGAAGCAAACCCGAGTACCACTCGAGGAAAAATGGGCCATAAGGTGTGTTCCAAGATCCATCACTTCTGAAGAAACCTGTTTCCACAGGGTTCTTCAGAAAGTCACTAGCGTCAAGAGGGGCACCATATCCCCACACACGCATGCCAATATTTCGTGCACAAGCACTGAGTGATGCCAGCATGTACTGTTAATAGAAAAGATAAGTCATCACAAAACCATATCCCCGACATCAGTATGAAAAACATTGATGTACATATGCGACAAATATTGAATACTAGCCTTAATGAAAACTGAATCTGCTCTCTGACCTTATCATAACACTGAAATTCTCCAAGTTCAGCTGCAGTGCTTGCTCGTATCAGCTTCTCAGTGGGGCAAAAAGGATACGTAAGTTCGCCTGCAGGACCCATTCCAACTTGAATTTCCTGCGAAGCACAGAAATAAGATGAACTGAACTATAAATCTATTGAGAAAATGTCTAGAAGTAAGCACATACAATTCAATGTTGGAACCTTACCGTTACTACAACTCCTAGGAAGTCCTTGAAAGTATCCCTGAAACTCCTCATAAAATCTGAATAAGCCTGGATTGGAGATCGTCCCCTTAGAACAGGAAGAACATCACATCCCAAAGAAATATATTCCTTATTCCTTCTACCAAACCTGTCAGAGAAAGCCAAATCTGGCTCTTTGTCCATTTCTTTAAGCACCCATTGTGGGAGAGGTATCCTTTATAAAAAAACAAGTTTTAGTAATTTAACAGAAAATAAGGTTGATTTTGATTAGAAAATATGTAAAAATGCTAATTAACAACAGATTCATCAGAATCTTTGAAGAAAATACAGTCACACGTCAGTTTCACTTCATATATAGTCTTTCACCATTCGTGCAACTTCAAATGAAACAAATGTTATATATCTCATCTGTTTTTTTTACTCTCCTCCACCTTATATAATATATATAACCTATTACCATCCCATTTAAAATTATGGTAGTTCAGCAAAGAGTTATACAAGACCTTGAAAACAATTCATTTGACATTGCCCAATTTAAGCAAAAACTTCTCCAAGACAGAGACAGGCAACTCTGAGCAAAAACTCCCCCAACTAGGGGCACAGCTCCAAAACATGTTGCTAAAACTGCATTTTATATAATAATAATAATAATCAGATCATTGTCCAATGAGATAAGAAGACTTGGCTCCAAAGAATCTAACACATGCGTATTAATTTTCAGTCTAATTCTTTTTGTCTGGCCAAGCTATATTTTATAGGTGGAAGCATGACTCAGTAACATATTTCTATATATTTTATTCAATAATAAGTTCTTAGACTGCCATGAGCAGCTTTAATTGTGAATGAAGATAGCTTGATAGACCTCCCAAGTTTAACTTAGTAGAAACGCCACAAGTCAAACATGCACAGCTCACTTGCGTAAGGATGATTTAAGCTCAAAACACTTGAATGTAATGAAACAACATCTGCAAATATAAAATCAGCCATCAAACATATCTAACTTTCTTTTTTGATTTTCTTTAGATTTAAAATGGAAAAATATCTACACAAAAAAATGAAGTCTCACCTGTACTTAAAGTTATCTAATCTTCTTTATCAAGACATAGTTTCAGTCAAAGGGATAGAGTTGGCCAGTCGAGTGCAGAACAGGAATTGGCCGTCTCAAACAGAAGCTGAATCATGTACCCAATTGTCATGATGAATACAGCAGTGAGGCACAAACATAACCTATTAAAATCATGTGCTATGGAGAAGGGCGAAAAGACATCCTCGTTAAAAAGTTTACTCTATTGATAGCAAAAGTTATGGAAAACTATCGGGTAACCATGATTCCCATGTCACATTACTATAGGGTAGTCTTGGCCATATTCAAGGCTTTTCAAGTATCGCTTTCATGAGTAATTCTATTCAACAACAACAAAGCGGTATTACATAAGCAATTCTATTAATGACTTCAACTGAAATTTGTCTCTATTACATAAGTATGACAAGCATATTATAGAAAAGAAATTACATCAGGTGCATAAATAACTAGTCAGTATCTGATTTTAGAGGCATATACAATAGAATCAAAGAGAAGTACAAGTCCTAGACTCCTTATATTGAAATATACTTATACGATTGACAACTTCCACAAGATATTACAGTACTTATATATGGATATATAGCCCCATGTACATTTTCCAATCTTAACACTACCCCCTCTAACTTTAGTGCAAAATTTCAGGCATCAACAGGGTTTTCTTTCCTCCAAGAGAGAAGTTCAATCTACAATCAAAGCTTGCTAAAGCATAATTAACAAGACTAGAGTGGTTACATGTCAAAAATTACTAAATTAATGAAAAGTAAAGAGAAAATGTCTTTTGTATCCATGTCACTAAATAGGCCATATCCAAATTACATTCAAAACCTCTAGGAACCTCATGCCTGGAACTTTGCAATTTCTCTATAGAAACATACATCAACAGAAGGTATGATATCTGACTCCCAGAATACAGCAAGAAAAGTCATTCAAGAGTTGTTCATAATCATGTATCATGCACAACAATGCACAGGGTCCCATCTCCATGACAACCCATTTTTAACCTATGTTAGCCTATTCTCACTCAGCTCCTTAATTGCCTTGTTAAACACCAAAGACCCTTCAACATTTATTCAGTCTAGCATCCCATCAGATATGATGATAATTGTTGCTGATAAAATATCCAATTTTTTAATACATTCAAATCACAAGTTTTCCGATATCATTGAAACCCGTTACTAATGAGAACCTCAGACATACTCTTGAAAGCTTTTCATTTACTAGGTAGCATTACTAGAAGTTTTCCTCAAGTAAACGTAAAATTCACCTTGTATTTGCTTTGCCAATTGTACTAAAATAAAATCTCCAGAATTGAAATTTCTAGAAACTAGGACTGGGATGAACCAAAATGACAGCCTAAAGTTAAAGAACTGTTGAAATCAATTTTCTGGAACAGTAAATTTATTTTTTACATTTGCATCACAGGTTTATTGTTGCATTTTAAATTATTTTCCCCATGTACAATGTAGTTATACTGCTTGGTTTCAACTCATGTGAAACAAAATCCACTAAGTGATGCTTGATCAATAAATTTGAACATCTTCCCATTGTTTGCCATTACAATAGCATACAATTGAAATTATTGATCATCTGCTTTAGATCTTAAGAGACAAACCATGTAAGTGAGGTTTTCAATAGCTAAGAAGGGAGATAAAGGAAACTTAAGGGTTTTTTTTTTTAATTATTAGATCATAGTCTACATGCATGTATATGATGAATGACCTAAGTATTGAATAAGACTAATTATAAGTAAATTCTCAACAAAAGATTTGCAATTTGTCCCGCCTCACCATTAAGAAGTATAACATTATTATTATATCATAAATGCACACTCAGATGTGCATACTTATAGAGGTTCACCATACTTAAAAATGAGATTAATTACATATTACCCTTATAGTTAAAGCTCTTTAGCATTCCAGTCCCTAGACTTAAAAAATTTATATTAGAATCTCAATAGTTATGAAAGTAAAATATTTAACTTCATTTACCCTAACGCCATCAGTTGTACCGACGGAAGCATAAAAACAATAGGCAAAAAGGTAATTTCAATATCTCAGTTATGTTTTTTGTGGTGGCAGATGACGACGCCATTGGGGGGCGTTAGTGATTATTGTGGATGAGGAGGGAGAGTGACAACGAGGGGTGAGATAAAGGGAGAAAAGAAAGAGGACGACATAGATGCCAACGTTCTACATCTGCATCGGTGCCGACACAAATGTAGAGTGGCGAAAGGGTCGCTCGGCATCTGCATTAGCGCCGACACAAATGTAGATGTAGAGCGGTGCCACTTTGCATCTAAGCAGTGTCGACACAAATATAGAGCAACGCCGCTCTGCATCATCCTCTTCCTCCTCTCTCTTTGACTCACATCTCGTCACCGCTCTCCTTCCCCTTCCACAACAGTCACCCACAGCTCCTAATGGCGTCGCCATCCACCATCATTGAAAACGTAACTGAGATATTGAAATTACCTTTTTGCCTATTGTTTTCATGCTTTCATCGATAAAACCAATGGTGTTAGGATAAATTGAGCTAGATGTTTCACTTTCATAACTATAGAAATTCCAATATAAATTTTTTAACTTTAGAGACTGGGATGCTAAAGAGGTCTAACTATGGGAATAATCTATAATTAGCCCCTAAAAATGAGACAAATATATTACACCTTTTCTATAAAGTACAAAATAGGCTTTCACCACCAGCTTAAGCTTTTTTCTGCCTTTTGAAGAAGAAGGAACACTTGAATTACGTTAAAGCAGGTTCACACAAAAAGTTAGGAGCTACTTCTCCAGACCATAAAACAGGAGATCTATCCTTTCTGGCCCTCTTGGCCAAACTATGAGCTATAGTATTGAGGCATCGGAGTAGATTAAGCATATCAACTAGCATTAAATACATGAAAATAAACACCAAATATATTAAATGCAATAAACACATACCACTACTGCTCGATTGCACAACAAAGACCACTAGGTTTCTAATAGCAACTAATTTGATCAGTTCAATGGACTCAATTTTACTTGTATATATGTCATCACACCTCCGCGTCTAATTGATGTTTCTAAATACCATGTAAAGAAGCAAACAATTGGGAGGCGAGACCATGATTCCAAGAAAATAGGATTGAAGGAGATATACCAGCAGGGGTCTCCAGGGCCCGTCCCCCACTGATGGAACGCAATGATCGCGCGCACCTTGAGCCCACATCTCCGCGCCATCATCACCAAATCCATGTACCCGCCCCAGTCGTACACCCCCGGTGTCTCCCTCTCGACGATCCCCCACCAGCACTCCACCGTGATCCCCTCCACACCGGCCGTAGCGAGCGCCATGAAGGACGCCCCCATCGTCTTCCTCCGCGTCATCCGCCCCGACGGCGTTACGGCGTCAGCGGGGAGCGTGACGAACACCGGCACCCCTCTGCCGGATCGCGTCGGCGGGGGGACGGCGGGGTGGAGCGTGCCGCCAATTCCGGGGCAAGAGGACGAGCCATCGAGGGACTCGTCGGCGCCGGAGGAAGACTTGGAGGAGTAGAGGCGGGAGGAGACGGAGCGGCGGCGGCGGAAGGGCAGGCGGAGGGCCGGCAAGACGGAGACGGAGGCAGGGGCGGGCCAGGAGCAGGATGCTGGGACGACGGCGGCAACGCTCGACGGAGGAGCGGCGATCGCTGCCATTCGAGTTGGTTCTCGAGGGAGAGGAGCAATGATCTGGCAAGAGTTCTTTTCGCCCTCCTCTCTCTCTCTCTCTCTCCCTATCTCTCTCCAACTTCACATTTCTGTTGTCCTCATTGACGGAGAGACATTTATAGCCACCTTTTTTGTCTTATTTTTTTCTCTTTAAAAAGTTTTATTGGTTAATTTAAAAAATCCACGTGGCACTCGCCATACAGCGTTTACATTGGTCCAGTTAAATTGTTCTCTGTCACGCACAGACAGGGAACAGGGTCCTTCGCAACGAGGAAAATAAAATACTTATTTGATGTTATACGTGTCAGAATATTAGTCGCATTGTCAGCGGTCCAACCCTGAACTTTGGGCACATTAGGACAGGAAATCCTCGCTTGCACGTCGTCTCCTACGTTACTCCACCAAGCTGGGAAAGCACCCCATGGTCACCACATCGGTCGATAAGGGGAGTCAACCGCGTTGCTCTGCTTCATAAGACGACAGTGTGGCTTTGAGATCCACAGTTCGGCTGATGCAGTGTCCAGTACTCAAAATGGAAGTTTCTTCTTCTTCTTCTTCTTCTCCATTTACAAGGACTGAACTGCCTGTTACTGGTGATATAGGAGTCCATGTTATTGCTTGCATGCATCTAAAACTGTTCTTCAATTATCCCAGATGTAGTTGGTCAATCCGAGCTCATCTCAAATGAGTCAAAACACATTGTGTTTCATTGTATTTGTAAGCAAATATAAGTTCTTCAGAGAAAGCATCAAACATAAGAGATCAAATTTGACGGAGAGGTGTCTAGAAGAATGTCCCTCATAAATCTTCTTCAGCAGTCAGTGGGTTGAGAGTGACATTTGGAAGACCACCGGTTGATGGACTTCCAAACAAGTCGTTCTCTCTCTCATGCAGTTCTGAAGTGACAGATCAGTACAAATCATAGTTAAAATGAGGCTTCTCTAAAATAGTCTTTAGGTTGAAGAACGATGAGATAAGTATGAGAAAAATGGGGATGGCCACTCTCTTAATTCTCTTTATCCATAGCGTTGTTTTGTCATGTATCTACGTTGTTTCTTCCATCATATAAAAGAACACATTATTATTTGCTCACAACTTAAAAATCATGTTCATAATACATGACAGTGAGATGAAGATTTTTTTTTTAAATAAATTGTTTGACACGATTTGAGTTGATCGTTAAAGTGGCCAAGGAACGATCATGATTGACCTCGACAAAGATTGAGGTTAGATAGGTTTTTCGACTTGATCTTTCTGATACTCAAGTCAATCTCGAGGAGAATAAAACAAATTTAATCTTGATTATCATATTTAGGTATCTTTTTATAGTGGGTTAATAAAAGAGAATATTCAATGAAATATTCATGGACAAAATATTTCTTAAACCCAAATTATCGATAAGTATGTCTTCTCATTGTTGATTGTACTATCATATGTATCACTATGAGTTGAGAGAAGGAGGAAGAAGGAAAGACTAGCCAAGGCTGGAGAACGAAGGATTTGGATTCAGAACTACGACATGGGCTCCAAGCTCGACCTACATTGAACCCAACGTGAACTTTGACCGCATAATATTTGATCTGGTCTAATCCTACCGAGAACCCGACGCACCCGATCTCGAATTTTGAACGCACACGTTTCTTGATATGATCCAACCCCACCCAAAAACCCGACAGGAATTGCAGATTCGTGCGTGAGTTAGGTTCAATCGGATCAACTCAGACCCGATTGGATCGGGCGAAACTGGTCTGGTTTAGATCTGCTATGTTCATCTAAAGTGGACACTTCCTTCATGAAGAACATGCAAACCTACTTGATAAAACATTGACTTCAAAGAAGAAAACAGTGGAGATACTAAAAAGACTCGATGCAATACACAAGGAAATGAGCTTCGAACTTCAAAGATACAAAGCAAGTCACACCATCGCAACAAGACGACACTGTTCACTCTTATTCTGCAGGGCTTACGAGTCACTGCGGAAGTGGCTGGTGGTCGTGTAACAAGTAGGCGTAGGTGTACACCAACCCTGCGAGGCCGCCGCCAATCAGGGGGCCGACAAAGTAGATCCAGAGGTCGGAGAAGTCCCCGCTAGCGACGGCGGGCCCGAAGGAGCGAGCCGGGTTCATCGACCCGCCGGAGAAGGGGCCGGCGGCGAGGATGTTGGCGCCGACGATGAAGCCGATGGCGATCGGGGCGATGGTGCCGAGGGAGCCCTTCTTCGGGTCGGCTGCCGTCGCGTACACCGTGTACACCAGGGCGAAGGTGATGATGATCTCCATCACCACCCCTTCTCCTGCTCCCACTCCTGCTCCCAGTCCATGAGTGGGGGTGTCCTGCAAGATCAGAAGAGGATTTAGCTTCTGTCTCGTGTTTGATGGCTGTGTGCGTCAGCCTTTACCAGTCCGGTCGAGAACTTGAGGAGGAAAGCTCCGACAACAGCTCCAAGCAGCTGGGAGATCCAGTATAAGATGCCAGTGAGGATGGTGATCTGCCCTCCAAGAGCCAACCCGAAGGTGACCGCCGGATTCACGTGGCCGCCGGAGATGTTGAAGCCCACCGATACCGCCACGAAGAGCGCAAACCCATGGCAGACGGCGATGGCGACGAGCCCCGCAGGATCCAGAGCTGCGCTCGACGTCAACTTGTCTGCAAAAGACACATATATACTTATAGATCGAGACATAAGAATCGACATAGAAGATTAATGAACGAGGATGTTAACTGTAAGCTATAGCTGATCCGACGCCAGCGAAGACGAAGAGGAGAGTGGAGATGAACTCGGCGAGGTAGGCCTTCAGTGAGCCGACACTGAAAGAGTCATCGAAGCGGCCGAAGGCGATTCCAGCCATGGTCGAGAAATGAGGATGGAGAGAGGATTAACTACACAAGATGAAGGGTGGTATGCATGTATATATACAGACACACACACACACACACACACAATCAGGGTTGCCTGTGGTGAAAGAGAGAGGAGGATGAGGAACGAGGACTATAGCTTATCCAATGCCAACATGCCAACTGTAATCAACATGCAATGAGGAAATGTCGAGAAGCTCATCAATGATTTGAGGGGACCCTGTGGCCGACCAACCTTTGGTGCTTCTCCATGGTGGGCCACAACCATGTCTAGGAGGAGGAAGAGAACAGAAGTGTGCGACAAAAATTGTGACTGTGCATGGTATTGTGGTTGTTCATTTACATTTTGGACTGTGGGATTAGGTTACTCTCTCAAAAACCTTCATACATGATGAAGACCACAAGTTTCATTTGGATCCATGTTGATCGGATGAAGGAAACAGTGACTGAAACGATCTGGAAAGAACGCCATCGCCACATGATATTGTCGACCACAAGGGACAGGTAGAGGATGAGAGGGAATCGTCTCTTCTGAGGGTGGGGCAGCAGCTGAGAGGCCTAAGGAGTCGATCATCTCCACTCAACAATACATGTCTATTTTTCCTACACAGTTTCTTGAATTAAAAGTATCTCCTCCCTGTAATGACTTGTTCTTTTGGGATTTGAGATGCCAAAAGAACACGACCAAATACTGTTCTTAAGAACACAACCTTGAAGGAGCTGGAAATGATCCATTCCACTGGTGCTGAGCTCAGAATTAAAACAGTGATGCATGCCTGGCACTCACATGGTGAGAAAGAAATGTAGAGGATTGTAACATGCCAACCACTCAGCAATGAGTGGGTTTGCCGCTGACATGAACATGAACTTAAGGTGAAGATAATCTTGATTACTCTGGATGAGTTCTGACATGCTTCTCTAAAATTATATATTGTTTTCCTTTCATATTTTAGGAAAGAAGATAAGGCTGGTGATCTGGAAGCAAGAGTACTAGATTTATGCATGCACCAGGGAAGCTGATCTCTTCAAGCATTTGAAGCCATTCTTAGAACAGGAAGCTGTTGATTCCAAGTTCAGAAACAATGCAATCATTTCTGAAACAGTTTGCTAGACATGTTCTTTTCTTTCATTCTTCTCGCCAACACTGAAATTTGTGGTTGTATCTGAGTGGGACAATTAGTAATGTTAGATACTGCAGTAGTTTTATAAGTGAAGCTTTCAATCAAAAACTATATATATATATATATATATATATATATATATATATATCACGTCATATAATGTGCATTATTTCTGCAGTAGTGTATGCACGTATTTATGTGGACGTACGCGTGTTCGTTGTGTGTTCGAACGTGTCAGTGACTTCACGTGCGTGTATCAGATGAGAACTGCTTTGAAATGTGTGCGTCAAGCAACGAGGAAGAATCTCTACCGTTAATCTGCAGCGGACACGAGATCGGAGTCGGGATCCTCTCCGACTAGTGCGGATCAAATTCTCGTCTCCAGCGGTCCCATCTCAACCGTCCACATGAACTCGTGTAGGTTATGAACCGTCCACCTGTGCGGCCCAGTCTCTCCGATGAATGGGCGGTCTAAATGAGGAGTTTTAGCGGAGCCGGATTCGCACCAGTTGTAGAGGATCCGACCCGCACTCCAGCACGTGACTAACCGGTTGTTGTCAGGTGCTCAGATAGAAGCGGATTCGAGCTAAGGGCGAAACGTCCACGAGAGAGAGAGGGGGATTTCGTCCGCCGGCCGATGGCGAGGATCGTTCCCATGTTCAACGCCACCTCCTTCTCCTCCAATTCCGTCCGACTTGTGGCCCTCCACGCGCCGCTCTCCTCCTCTGCCGTCGCTCCCGCTGCCCGGTTCGCCCCCAGCCCTCGGTCCGGCCTCTGCTCCGCCCCTCGCGGTATGCTATCTCCCTTGGGTGCCAGCTGCGTCGAGCTTTCGATTTATGTCTTCATTACGTTTTTATTGATATTATCTTAAAATCCCGATGTCCTTTCTTTTGTCTTTGTTGAGATTTAATCTATTACTGTTCATCGCAAACCGCTGTAATCAGAGTTCTGGTTGAAGCGTAAGATTTGGGAATAGTGCTGGAGTGCTACTATCTGGTCAACTACTTCATGACACCCATTATATTCGCTCCAAGATTACGTCTTTTTGCTAAGAAAAAACATATATTAGTAGCCAGCATGGTAGCCTGGTAGATGGAGTTAATTATGTCGTGCTTTCTCTTTTTGCTTTGCGGCCAACGGACTGTTACAGTTTCTTTGGAGCTATACATTTATTTATTAAATTAGGTATTTCACTTATTTTTAGCACTTAATGTTGTACATGGTGTGTTTATATGTTCCTTTCCTTCTGAATGACTTAATTGCAGTTACTGATTTCTGTTCAAGATTACATCTTTTTGCGAAGCGTGTCTTTTTTATTTGGTTTGGGGGTGTATGTTATTCTTTTAGTGGAAAGCATCACTATCAGGTGGAGATAGCTCGGTCCTGTTTTTTTTTTTTTTTTTTGATCATTATCTGAATGATAATTCCTCTGAAGTGATTTTTGTTAAATTTGACATATTTCATTTGCTGCGTCTATCTTTTAATTTGATTCTAATGGACCTGCTCACTCAGTTTAATAGAGGTTTCGGGCTAGTTTAAGTGACTGAGAAGTCTTTTTTTAAGCTTATACACCACTCGTGGCATCACAACTAATTATTTATTATTATTATTTTAAATTTAATCTGATATGTTGTTGATACTGGAAGCTTAGTTTTTCTCATTTTCTCATGCTACTTCCCGACTATGTCCATGGTAAAATGTGAACAACTCAAGTCTTTGTATAACCTTATTATATAGACCCTAACTCTCCTGGCTCTTTTTTGTCTGTTATTCCTCAGCTATACATCATGAGCAGTTATTTGGAATAAAAACTTCTAGATTGATGAGAAAAGCAAATTGTATAAAGGCCAGTGCTTCCGGCAACATGGCACAAGCTAGCACAACTATTAGTAAAGAAGAGGCGTTTGAGTGGGTGAAAAAGGATAATCGGAGAATGCTTCATGTTGTTTATCGTGTTGGTGACTTGGAAAGGACGATCAAGTATTTTGTCCTCTTTATTTATATTTCAGCTTTAGTTGGAAGATCTGTTTTAGACATTATAACACATGCCTTTCTCTGAGTTTGTTTACATGATTGGTGAAGATTTTACACGGAGTGCTTGGGAATGAAGTTGCTGCGGAAGCGTGACATTCCTGAGGAAAAATATACAAATGCTTTCCTTGGATATGGACCCGAAGACTCACATTTTGTCGTTGAACTTACTTATAGTAAGTTACATGGATAATTTCTTCACGATGTCAGTGAAGCATTTATCCTAGACTTTTTGCACATGTTCTAATACTACATCTCTTGCTCGTTGGGGATTTAAAAATTCTCTATAGTTTTGTTTGTTTGGTAATGCAAAGATTTTTTCTCCTACTTATCTGAATCTAGCTCTGTATTTTGCAATTGTTGGTAGACTATGGAGTTGACCAGTACGACATTGGATCTGGTTTTGGACACTTCGGTATAGCAGTTGAAGACGTAAGATCTCTTTTCATGTATCATCAGTTTATGCAATCTTCTGCTGAGTGGGAGCATCAGTTGCACACATTCTTCCATATGTGTGTATGTGTATGTGGTACTTGTGGTGATCGAGACTTGTTTTTGGTGACATATAGACTAAGTCTCCTCACACATTACTAGATTTTTGTTGAATCTGGATGTTAATTTCTTGAAACAATCCGTAGTCATTTTATTTGTTTGCTTAGCCTGAGATTATGCCGACTTGAGATCATTCTCTTTATACTGCATGAATAAAATCTAGTGTCTGAAAAATGGATAAACATTGTGTGTCATTATTTGATGTTTCCTCTCACATAAATAAACTGGAACATAATTTATTGTGTATTAACTATGCAATTTACTGTGTTAATGGACAGATACTATTTCAATTTTCAAATGCTTGCTTTCTTACAGTATGCAAGAATCAGAAATAATCCTACAATGGTCCAGTGAGGTCACCCTCTTTCCTGAATGAATAGGCTTTTGATAAAATCTTCAATTTGTAAAAATTGCTGTGATTCGAGTAGCATGCCACCAGCTTTCATCTAAATATTATCATACTTATAAGATGTGTTGCTTGAATGATAATTTTTTAATTTGTTGGAAAAAGGTTGCCAAGACAGTGGATCTTATAAAAGCCAAAGGAGGAAAAGTGACCAGGGAACCTGGTCCTGTAAAAGGTGGCAAAACTGTAATTGCCTTTATCGAAGATCCTGATGGTTATAAGTTTGAACTTCTGGAAAGGGGCCCGACACCAGAGCCCTTGTGTCAAGTGATGCTTCGTGTAGGAGATCTCGACCGTTCCATAAATTTCCATGAAAAGGTAGTTCTCGTTGAAACGATAGATTATTTTATATCGTTTTTCTACTGTCATTTAATGAAAATGGTTTTCCGTCATTCTTTGTGTTCTAAATTTAATTTAATTGCTTGTAATAAGGCATTTGGTATGGAACTTCTCCGCAAACGAGATAATCCTGAATACAAGGTACTTGTCACATCTGAATACATATTTTTAATGTTGTTTAATGCAGATATACATTCCTGTTTCACTTTCTTTCAGCTGTAAAAACATTTCTGTTGTTTACTCTCCCATTGGTGGGAAAATGGTCATCCTTGATAAGGAATTGTGTAGTTTCATAAATCTTTGAGTTCTATTTTCTTGGCATCATGCTTGCAAATTATGAACAAAGCCATCTTGGAAACTTCTATTTGTAGAAGGCCAAGATGTATGCCTTATCGAACCTCTGCTGCTATGATACAATTGGTATCTCCTAGAGTGCAGTGTATCTCCAATTTTCCTGTTCTTATGTGATTGATACTTAGGAGGGGCGTAGTTCAACAGAATACATAACTTTGTAAATTCTTGTTGTAAAGGCTTTGTTCGAGGACTACGCTTCTTCTTGTCCTTATTTGTGTGTGAATATTTTGACATCACACGCCTGTCATGCATACTGTTACTAATGTGTAAGTTCATTTTTAGTACACTGTGGCAATGATGGGATATGGCCCTGAAGATAAGAACACTGTATTGGAGTTAACCTACAATTATGGAGTCACAGAATATGACAAAGGGAATGCCTATGCACAGGTAGTTTTTATTAGTCTATCTATTATTCTATTTAGTATGTCAGTGATTATACTTGTCATGGATGATCTATGCATTAATGTGCTTTTCCTACTAAGATCATTTGGAGTTGCTAGGAATTACCACTTTCTATTATTATAGATTGCCATTGGCACGGATGATGTTTATAAGACAGCAGAGGCTATAAAACTGCATGGAGGAAAGATTACTCGTGAACCAGGCCCCTTACCTGGCATTAATACCAAGATCACTGCATGCTTGGATCCAGATGGTTGGAAAACTGTATGTATCTGCATCTGACCTTTGATAATGTCTTGAATTTGCTTCAAGATTCTTGCAGACTTTAATTATGATGTGCATATCTATGATGAACGACATGTTTACAATCCTCAATCCTTCCATAAGCTCATCATTCTTGTAGGACGATGATAAATTACACTCTGTAGAAGTTATATGCGCCACATCTACTGAAAGCTACAGGCATCATAATGCTACTGATCTATGCAGAGTGGAAATTTGCTAAACTATGGAAATTTCCACTCTGCCTAAAAAAGTCACATCATGCTATGCTTATTAATTTTCATCATTCTACGGCATGCTCTTTTTGCAGGTATTTGTTGACAATATAGATTTTGCTAAAGAGCTGGAGTAATCAAGCATAAGTTACCTTCTGCTCAAAGTGGCATTTGCCTGACTAATCTTATAAGATGCCTGATCAGATCTCAGTTTGTACATAGGCCAGTTTTGCCTGCCATTTTAGTGGAAGTATGTAACATGTGTCCTCCACACTGGTGTAGTTTTAATATTTTTTAAAATTTGTTTTGAAGTAATATCAAATCAATCCTGTTTACATTTTTCGGCATTGACTTTTTTGCTTATACAAGTACTATATTTTTCGTATCAGCTTCTCTAGCATTTGTCAGAATCTTTTTTATAATCTTTCTTTTTTTGCATTATCTTGCCATCTAATTTGTAATGTTTGAATGTCGTGTGATGATTCGAGGGGGAAAATAAGTTAAACTTCTGTTGTTTTGCTCATCAAGAGAAGCATTGCTTTTGAAATTGTGTTTCTTTTAAAGTTTGTTGGTAGAGGAACTTTGTGGTGTTGTTTGTTCTTTTTTCAAGTACTGAGTTGCATGTGGAGGAAACTAATAACTCCACATTTATCTTTATGAAAGGTTCTGTATCTTCCTCTTTATCTGGTTCTCTTGGTGATGCTGGACTACCCAGAGCTTCATCATTTGTATTTGTTAGGGATGACAAATCCATGAATTCTTTTCTTGTGCTTCCCTAAACATCTCAGCTGAATTAGATGAAGATGACAGAAAGAGAAACTGTCATTTAATCTAGTGAGGCATGAAATGATATATGAAATCCAATGTGAGTCAATCACCTTATTACAGAAGAAATCTTATATTGCTCATTGAGATCAAAATACACAACCTTACCATATCAACATCAATAAATTTACATGGTTAACATCATTCGCATCCCAAAAATATCCCCCCAAAAAAGGGCGGAACTTTGTCTCCATTTAGAATTCCATGCATCGATTTCAATGAGAATGCACATAAATTATATATATATATATATATATATCAAAATCATACATGTACGTGGAAATCATAGCATTCCAAATTTTAATATCGAATTTTATAATTTAAAGTCAATGCTAAATTAACTAGATAATTTTTCAAACATGAGTGTTATTTTAAGTTAGTCCTTAATTTTTTTTCTTCCAAAATTGATAATTTAAGTATTGAATTAATAGCCATTAGAACTTGTTTTGTCATATTCCAGCAATATCTATAATAAAAACATGAGTTATAATATTTCTTTATGAATTTATATTATCTCCTCTTTTAATTTCTCTCCCAAAAAATAAAGTTAATCATTTTAGGCGTGATTTACATATTTTACAAAATATATAAAAGACAAACTACTTAGGAGTGGAGCTCTATAAAAAAAATATTTTATGAAAATTTTTTAAAACTAGGTTTGAATTTAACTATATATTAAATAAATATAATGTAATTTTGTGACCTATAAATGTGATAGAGCGCTGCCTCCACGAAACCGTATCCCAGGAAGAACCCTAATTGTGGATCTGTGTAGTCACCGAAGATGCCGAACTTGGAGTGCCGGATGTACGAGGCCAAGTACCCGGAGGTGGACATGGCGGTGATGATCCAGGTGAAGAACATCGCCGACATGGGAGCCTACGTCTCTCTTTTGGAGTACAACAACATCGAGGGCATGATCCTCTTCTCCGAGCTGTCCCGCCGCCGTATTCGCTCCATCTCCTCCCTCATCAAGGTCGGCCGCCAGGAGCCGGTCATGGTCCTCCGCGTCGACCGCGACAAGGGCTACATCGACCTCTCCAAGCGCCGCGTCTCCGAGGAGGACATCCAGGCCTGCGAGGAGCGCTACAACAAGAGCAAGCTCGTACACTCCATCATGCGCCACGTCGCGGAGACACTGGACATCGACCTCGAGGAGCTCTACGTCCACATCGCTTGGCCCCTCTACCGCAAGTACGGCCACGCCTTCGAGGTGTCATTCAGCAGAACAGACCATTCGATTCTAATTCTTCGTTAATTTCTCTGCTTGGTTCTTGGCTGTGCATTTCCGTTGAATAAAGATCGGTTTCTTGGTTATCTTCTTTAGGCTTTCAAGGTAGTTGTGACGGATCCAGACTCGGTTCTCGATTCGCTGACTCGGGTGGTGAAAGAAGTTGGGGCTGATGGGCAAGAGGTCATCTTCTGGTTTCCTAGTTATTGAACTTTCTTTGATGACTTGTTGAGGTTATTAATCAGGTTGGCTGCAGGTGACTAAGGTGGTGCCTGCGGTGACACCCGAGGTGAAGGATGCGCTGGTCAAAAACATTAGGAGAAGGATGACGCCACAGCCGCTGAAGATACGAGCTGATATTGAAATGAAGTGCTTCCAGTTTGATGGAGTACTTCACATCAAGGTATTGAGACCTAAATTTTGTTCATTTTCTTATTTTCTTGTTCTTACATAGACATTACTTATTTGAAGTGCTACTTTGATGCCAAATAAGCTTTGTGATGTAAAAAATGATGGAGGCATTTAACTTGAAGTAATTTGGAACCATTTGTGGTGCAGGAAGCTATGAGGAAAGCTGAAGCTGCAGGAAATGATGATTGTCCTGTGAAGATCAAGTTGGTTGCCCCTCCACTCTACGTTCTCACCACACAGACTCTCGATAAGGTGCTTGACAGCCCATTGCTCTTTCTAACATAACTTGTATAGGGTTCTCCATAACTTATCGAGCACAAGTAAATTTCTTCTTGCAAGCGTTGCCTGAAATGCTTTCTCAACTCATCAAGATGGCATTCCTGTAAGAAGATGTGTTTTAAGTTTTCTGTTCCTCTATTTCTTTTTTATGAAGAGGTTTTACTAGTTAAAGAGGGGCCAATTGAATGAAAGAACTTTTCTTGATGGTGTAATCTGATAGCTTATGTTTTACTTGGTTGTTTTTTGTTTGCTTCTTTGTTATATTTCTTTTTTAAATAATGTAAAGGGTGGAGTAATAGTGTGGTTTTTGATTTGAGCTATGATTTTTCTATACTCTATGACATCTTCTACTAAGACACTTATGAATTATGTTGCCTACCGCATTTGTGTGCATCAGTTTAGATTGAGCATCTTTAATTTCGCTGGCTTATTCTTAGATTTACTTTGTTTTGTTGTAAATAAATTGTTGTGTTTAATGAGAATATGTACATGCCAAGTAGCCATATAATTTTGTTGTAAATAAATTGTTATTGTACTTCTATTGATTGTTGCGTTTACTCAGAGTATGTACATGCCAAGTAGCCATATGACATTTTTGTCTGGGACTAATTTCTTTACTCTCCATGCATTCTACTATGTGATGGTCGCTACCACATGGCATCCTCACCGAGTGTGATAATTCATGTAGTGTTCCAGTCTTCTACGTGCACGTGTGGCTTCCAAGCACTTTACTAGTTGATTTTCAGTTCTTATCGTGGTTGTCTTGTTAATTTTGAACATAGTTCAGGCTTAATTGAGATATGTGCTAGTGTAGAACTCCTATATTTTGTAAACAAGCAGAATCAAAATCTAATTATCATCCTAGGCTGGCACCCCTTTTCCTTAGAAGGTCACTTATCAGTAGGGTGAAGGAACCAAAGGGATCTTTTGTACCTTCTCTCATGCAGAACATATTAACCTTGCTTTTTCTCTGTCTGGGATTGCAACTTTGACATTCCACTTTATAGAGCCTCTGTGAATTTAGTCTCTATGCTAGAGGATCTCATTTATGTGGAAGTCTATAGATCCTACCTTACTCTTGGAGGTCCTATACTTGGGTTCTGCATCATGAATTGTTGAAATTAAGTCCAATGTCATACAAAATATTCCATTTATTATGTATAAGCATACTAAAACAAATTAATTTAGACATTGCACCAAAAGACTATACAACAACACAATGACAACAGGCCATAATGTATTTGAGATTGGCTATATGGATCTTTTCCTGCAATGGTGTTTTGTATCACATTAACTCTAAATTATATTAGATTTTTGACAAAAAAATAACTGCCACTTTGAAAATAATCTGAAAAAAATAAAGGATTTAAATCTCTTATTTTTCTATGAATTAAAATTTGTATATTTTTGAAAATTGACATAACAACAACAATTTGGAGTTGGTTATAAGGATCTTTACCCTCCATTGAGATTGAGTTCTATCGATGGCAAAATATTTTGTTTGTTCTGAAAGGTATAGTTTCATGCTTGCCACTACCATATCAGTGCCTAATTCACCTTTTATCATCAAATTTTTGTAGTCTCCCACCAGCATGTGTTCAGGAATTTATAAGGTCGATCTTTGCAGGCGAGTTATAAATAATAATAGAGCTGGCAATCATGGTATAATTGAATACCTATAACTAGATTTTGATGGCATCATGATAGTGCACTTATGTGTTCAAAACCATTAAATTGAATCTTATATTGGCATGGATCATATGAATTTGATATATGCTTTATTCAAATCTCTCTAACTTATAAAATTATTCTTCCACTAAAATATGTTTGAGGATGTGAGTGGACCTCTATTCATGGGCAACTACTGCTTCGCACTATTTGTAGATCACCGTTATTGACCCAGTATCTCTCTCTCTCTCTCTCTCTCTCTCTCTCTCTCTCTCTCCGTGACTGTTCCTGGAATAGGAGTATGTGTAGCTTCAGAAATTATTCGATTTATATGCCTATCTGAACTTTAGAGGAGTGCTATCCCAGATTTAACTAATAAAGTCAACATGAATGCTATATGAGGCAGATGATTCTCTGACACGTAGTATCTACATTCTCTTCTTGGTAACTAATATTGGAGAAAGAATTGTTGTTACTTGTACTTTTGACTTCAACTTGTCTTACCATATTTTGACAATGAGATATCAGATTGGGAGATGTCCTTTCTGTCTTAAATATGTCAGTTGCTAAAAAGTTTATTTATTCAACTGTTCTCTTCTATCCTGTTATTATTCTCATGTGATTCCTTGAAAAGGGGTTCTGAGCTATAGAGGTTTAGTGGTGATTATATTATGTTTTATTGTGCATGTATGTTTGTGTTAATTCACTAGGTATTACTATAATTTCTATTTATTCCCTTGTTTGCATCTCTTAGTGTGCCTTGTGGCTGTTTACAGGAACAAGGGATTTCGGTTCTCAATAATGCAGTTAAAGCTTGCACTGAGGAGATTGAACTGCACAAGGGAAAACTTACACTGAAGGAGGCACCAAGAGCTGTAAGTTACATTTCCTTGTAATTATTTACTCGATAGACGTCTAATACTCATCCTGAATTTTGAATTTTGAATTTTGAATGCTTTTTCTATAGGTGAGTG